ATATTTCTTTTTTACCACCAATAGATTACTATCTACATGATTCATAACAATCCCAGTATTTCACATAAAATACTCATGGTCAGTAATATTGCCAACATCCTACCCAATAAAATCTGAAGAGAACACTTAAAAGCCCAGCCATTCCTTGATCTTCAACAAAAACACCTTGCCATCACAATCCTTTAAGGGTACAATTCCAATTTTAATATTTTGTTTACATTTAACATATTTACAAAAATCTTTATTAGTTTTAACATTATCAGCCAACTGTTCCTCTTAAGCCCTTTTTGGCTTTCCTAGTTTTTTAATCAAATCCCTAGTTTTCCTATAATTCCATCATATCTCTCAATTTAAAACTCTAAAACTTAAGGCATTTATCCTTTATTTTCTCTGTATTTAGTATGCCATTTAGGTTCAGTCTTCCCCATTATCTTTTTAGGAACATATTTATTTTGAATTAAAAGCAATTCACTTTAAGAATTTCCCAAATCTGAACATTTTTGTCAACTCATTATCCCAATTCACTAATGATAAATCTTGTCTAATGTCCTCAAAAGTTTCTTTCTGAAAGTTACGAATTAAAAGTTCATTAATTTTTATCTTGACATGTAGTGAAAATTCAAATGTAATTATGCAATGATCACTCTTCCCCCCTCCACATTACCCTATTTCACCCTTTAGAGTGAAATCCTCCTACATCCTCTTAAAAAAATCTATCAATATTAAATAACTTATAAGCTGGAATCAAAATAGCTTCCAATATGCATATTATCCAAACCTAACCAAGTTTTAGTGATTCTAATTATATCATTCTTGCATCTCAACTTCAGCCTCAGCTCATCCATTTTGTTCCTGACACTTCTAATGTTAGAATAATAGCAACAGCTTATCTTTAAAAGTTATTTAACTTGTTATACTCTAATCTCTTCATTGCCCTAATTATCCTACCCAGTTGTTTATTTCGAATTTCTCAAGCTCCCTTACCACTGTGCAAGTTTAGTTTAAACTGACTTCAATGAATTTCTTCAGAGCTTCCCAAAACTGAGCCTGCTTAAGTGGAGCTCACTCTACCATATAATTCAGCTTTACTTTGAAAACTACCCCACAGGTTCAACCAGCTCACCTATTGCTCTAAGCATATCTTTGATAGTATTTTATTTAAGCCTTGAATCCTGCTAAGTGATTCATTCCCACATCTAGTCCAATGAAGCACTCCCAAAACAGCTGCAAGTCTATTTCTATCTATAAAACTTGTAGATTTTAGGCAACTCTTCTGATTTGCAACTTCCAGCATCATTCACTCCTACATGCACTAGCTGGTACCAACAACTAAACTGCCAACATGTTCTACTGCCAAACAAATTCTAGTCCTATCATCATATTGCTATACAGAGCACTGGGCTCAACTACTAAGAATAAAAAGTTATTGTAACTTTATAATATATATATATATATAATTCTATTGAGGCTTTATTTGAATCAATGGGTGCAATCTAGTCTCCTTAAGACACATAGTATATAAACCTATTAAAAAGTGCAGACACTAGCTGATAGCATGATGCTTAGCTCTTAAAATTCAAACTACGAGGAAAGGCTGAGTTTTGGCAGTGGAACCTGGAAGAATAAGATGTAACTTGATTCACATGTTTAATATAATTGCTAGAGGATTGAATAATATGCTTAATAATTATGTTTTTATGTGATGGAATAAAAAGGTTTAAATTTCAAACTTAAATATTATGTACAAGTTTAACCTTTGGAAGCCAGATACCAGAAAATGTATTTTATTATAATTGGCTAACTTGTGGAATAATAAATGATGTGGAAAATGTTAGTTTGAATATTTCTAAACAATTGTTCAGTACATATATGGATGTAAAGCCTCAAGGGCTACACTTAGTTTTATACAAAACTTTGGTATGGCTTCACTCAAAGCAGAGTTGAGTTTTGATCCTCTTATTATAAAATATACATTGATTAACTTGTAAAAGTTTAAAGATAGGATAACAAAATAATACCTGGTGTGAATAATTTAGGCTATGAGGAGAGATTAAAAAATCTGAACCTGTTTTCTCCCAAATGTAAAAGAACTAGAGGTTATGTGACTCGGGTGTTTATAACCAATTAGAGGCTTGATTAAACTGACCATAGGAGATGTTGGACTGACAGAAATATAATACTGGGGAATAAATATAAGCTATGGAAGCCAAAACCAATTTGATCATAAGGCACATGTTCTTTTCTCTGTTAAAGCTGTCATCTTGTAGAATGGTTTGCCAGATTATGTGGTATGTACAGGTAATTTGAAGTCCTTTTGATTCTGAGGCAACTTTATGCACGTGAGAAGTTATGTTTAGATTAAGCTGGTTTTTTTGTTGGGTAACCTCACTGGGTCTAACAGCCTTCTGTCACCTCTTACTTCAAAGTTATGTTGTGCTGGCTAAGAGGTTAAGATGCAAGTCTTTCACACATTTTAAACAAGTTCTTTCCAAGTTTCAAAACCCCCAGTATAACTTTACATTTTTAAAACACTGAAACTTGTTTTTATATTTTAGACAATCACTTAGACTGTCAAGGATTTCTTGAATTGGAGAAACATTTTCAATATAATAAGTTCTTTCAAGCAGCTTAGTATCATCAACAAACATAGCATTATTACAGTCCAAGATGCAAACCAAGTAATTTACAATTAATGAAAAAACATTATCCCAAAAACAAACCACGAGAGACCCCCACAAGTCACACTAAATTAAAAAATTTCTTGCTAACAGCAAAAGTAAAATTGTAGGCTAGTTCCTCTCTAGACCTTATCTAGGGTCATCATTAATTCCTCAGAATCAAAAGTTTTTTAATTGTGATTGTTAAAGCCTTTGTTATCTCTCTTATTTTTCATTAGTTGCCTTAGCTTTTCTAAAACAGCTTCAACCTAAAAACAATTTAATGCACAACTCTGCTTAACTTAGCTTGAAATGTCTCAAAAATTGCTTAGCACTTGAGCCATATTTCTTTTATTATTAAAAAGGTTATCACCCGTATCTTTTAAACAGTTAATATTATGCTAAAGTTTATGCTTTGAGATCAGAGAATTTTGTAATCTCCCCTCCTCTTGACAACAACTTTCTTGAACTTTGTTGCATAAACATCAGTACTCCACATTTTACTAGAAAATTTATTTTCAATGTGATTACTATAATCCCACTTCTCTAGCACAATAATGGAACTCATTGTTTCCTCAGTAATGAATAAAAGATATAAATAATGTCTTTCCTCATTGAATCCTTGGCACAGTGACAAGAAGAATGCCAACTTTTCCTGTCAAACAGCCAAAATCTAAAGTTTATAATATCTAAAACATTTATTTCAATTAAAAGCATACTTTATTTATTTTGATTAGCAGGAAATGTAAACAAGTAACTTGTGACATTTTTCTCCAAAAGCTAGAATGACTAAAAAAGAATATTCAATTGGGTCTGATTAGGGTATTTATAAAATTATCAGAACCAAAAAATAAAGTAGAAACATATAACTCTGTAAAGTATGTTAAATTTCTTCCCCAGAATGCAAGATTACTCATAGAATAGTTAATAATCTTAGGATCTGGCAGCTCCTAAGATAAATACAATAAGAAAACATTCAAGCTGTCCCCGATTGTACATGTAGTGATGTACACGTTTGTGTGACTAATGACAAACTTACTTCATTCTTAATCTTAATACTAATAAGAAATAGTTTAAAAAAAGCAAGACAGACAAAAAAGAACACAGGAAACAAAAACTTGATGTTACAGTAATTCATAAGAATATCAAATACATCCAGATTATATGAAATTGTATTTTTCTGATTCTTCTTTCACTTCTGAATACTGGATATGCATCTCAAATGTAATAACCATGAAAAACTGACAGTCAAAATAGTATGACAAGTTTAGGTGAATTAAAACTAATACTTAGTAAAGTAGTATTTACATTCATAATATTTAATTAATTAATAGTACAGACAATGCAAAACCCTCAGTACAATTTTACATTTTTAAAGCAATGAAATTCTTTCTTATATCTTAAACAAACACTTAGACTGTCAAGGATTTCTTGACTTGGAAAAACATTTTCAATATAATAAGTTCTTTCAAGCAGCTTAGTATCATCAACAAACATAGCATTATTACTGTCCAAGTTGCAAACTAAATAATTTACATTAATGAAAAAAAAAAAATTCACAAAAACAAACCCATGAGAGACCCCCACTAGTCACACTAAATTAAAAACTTTCTTGCTATCACTAGTAACACTAACATCAAAAGTGAAACTGTGGACCATATAAAATTTAACAAACGTAAAATTTAATAATTATGCAATTTTAAATTAATTTTTCCTTAAATAAGTTAATTTGTATAAGTTTTAGGCTATCTAACGCGAACTATTGTTTTACTTTTAGCCCAACTACTATTTGTAGTACACTAATACTAGTAATAATAGGGTAAATAAGTCTGTACTTGGTAATATGAACCCCAACATTGTATCACTATCAGTAGTACTAGTAATATTATTAGTAGAGCCAATATTGAGTAATAATATGTAATGAAAAGCTGAAAGGAATTTCTTCTAACGACGAATAGGTTATCATTGCATCTAACTCCCTATATTACTTCCAAATTCGAATGTGAGACTGAGTTATAATATTGCACAACACGTAAGGCTGTTGTGTTAATAATATGCATTGTACTAAGCCTAACTGTGAGCACGTGCATCATATGCGGAAGACAAGATCAAGGGCTGTTCCCTTTTCTCGCAGTGACTTATCACACCACAAGTTCTAGCATCAGAATAAAAACACATCTCCTTACCTCAGCTTAGTCTAAACACTAAGATTTGTAAAGTCCGAGTCGCATTATCACGATACTTGCAAAAAATCACGACATATTCAAAATTTGATTACATTTTATGAAAATACTATCTTTCTTATGATAGATATTAACTAGAAAATTTTATTTGAAATATTACCTCACTTTTACTTCGAATGTCATTATTTGTGCTCAGTAAATTCGAAAGAAGAGAGTCAAAATCCCCTTGTCCTTCCGCCATTCTGTCTCACTTGTGCCACTGCGCGCACAATGACACTGCCGTCTACAGTAGAATGATATAATTATATGGACTTTGATAAAATAACACACACACACACACACACATATATATATATATATATATTTATCGACATGATTTCTCACATTCAAAAGTAATGTGACAATATGTTTTCGTATTGCGTCCAAGTGTTTCAAAGCAACTTTGTTTTATAAACACTTAATTCGCTTTTAATAAAGATTTTAAACTTCATAAAAATAAGTCATAAAAATTACACATAGAAATTTCTGATGATGACATAAATTTGTCGAAAAGTTGTACATTTGTCATAAAGTTTCTTTCACTACCCATTCAAGCAGTCTCCAAACTTTATGTATACCTCAAATTTAATTATTTCATTGATCTGACTTACTAGATCCAAATTAAGATTTTACAATAACTTAGCATAAAAAACATTAAGAACAAAAGTAGTTATCCCTGTTGCGTCATCCAGGTCACGTGACTGGTGTGGCGCCCTCTAGTTTCTAGAACTATCCTGTACTTTGGCGAATGCTCTAGTATTTACTAGATATAGGGTAGTCGGGTATATATAAGAGGGAGACAACGTGACGCGGGAATGTAATGTGTGTATAGACAGTGAGTAATTGAACTGCAGTCACAGGGTATTGTTGAAGTTAACGTTCGTTCGTGATACTGTTTGTTTTAGCGCGATTATTGAGATTAAGTGTATCGCAGAGTTATATTCGGAAAGAATAAACCAGTTTTATTAAGAAATACTTGTGTCGCTAAAGTTTCGTCGGAACGAAGTTACGGGAAGTTAATTAACAAACGGAGACGTAACATCCCTGTACTCTGGACACACGCGCTGATTGGCTGCCTCAGGGGGAGAGGTGGGGGTTAAAGACGATAATTTCACCAGTGACAATGATGTCATAGTATAGAAAGTGTCACCAGAGGGAGCGCAATAGGGATGGGTAGAAACGATCATGTCACAAGAGATGATGATTGCTAGGTTGCCATGACAAAGGAAGTTGCCCAGAAAATATGTTGGTAGTTCTACGAAGTGGAACGAGAGGGCTCATTGATATAATGTCATTATAGAGTGTTTCAACGTGTGATTACGTCATCAATGCCTAGATTTAATTATGCTCTAAAACTAATACAGTCGTTTTATGTATAAAACACTTCACTAATTCATTAGTTCTATATGTAATCATACTTTAACATTTCCTGACCTTTTATGTGTAAATCTGAAAAGAACACTTATTTATCGTGTAAATCTTACAATGTTACTGTTTCACTAGTTTGCCTTTATGCTATCCATATAACTATATTCTTGACAAAACATTTCAGTTTGTCTTTTCTTACATACTTTTACAGTGTTTCTATGAGCTGAAGATGTTATCATTACTAAGGATAGTGTTACTTTAGGCAGACATGTTTTATAGGACACCTATTGTTTCGATTTCACAAGTCAACCAGACAGCTATTATAACATAAATATTACCCATCATTTCAATGAGACACTTATTATAACCAATAATTTATTTACATACTTTTATCATCCTGAAAAGGACACTTATTTTGCTACAACTAAATATAACAAATGAATGACTTACTGTTTATCCATACATTTTCTATAGAACATTCAACTGAAGATTAAAAATTTCTTCTTTTATAGAACTTGAGAATGTCTGACACTAGGACTGCTGTTTGTTAGGAGGTCATAACATGGTAGCATATACAAATGGTATGGGAACAACGTCAAGACCACCAACCAGCTAAATAAACTTGGAGAGTTAGGGAATACAAAGGTCGTCACATGGTCACACACACGTACAGATGGTGTGACTAAAAGTAGTGTTTCTATAAACAGATGATGATGGGCTCAGTGTTCCAAGGTGTTGTTACGTCTCCGTTTGTTAATTAACTTTCCGTAACTTCGTTCCGACGAAACTTAAGCGACACAAGTTCTTTCTTAATAAAACTGGTTTATTATTTCCGAATATAACTTTACCAATACACTCAACTTCAACAATCGCGCTAAACAAACGCTGTAACGTCTCTCGTGCTCTCTAACTGCAGTTCAATTATTCACTATCTATACACACATTACAACCATCTCTTTTATATACCAGCCTACCCTATATCTAGTAATTACTAGAGCATTCCTGAAAGAACAAGATAGTTCTAGAAACTAGAGGGCGCCACAGTGGTCATGTGACTCGCTGACGCAACAGTGTCAAGAATGTCTAGATTTAACATGTTATGTTTAATTTCTATAATACCAATGGCCCAGAAGTAGTAATTGGGAAATATTTAAATGTTCAATCATATGACTACATAAATAAAACAAATCTTATGTTCAATCTACGCTAAATGTATGACAATTTTCTTAAGTTACGAGAACATCCAAGTGCATAAGTACATCATGGATGCTAGACCAGACCTTTCACCAGTACCCAAGTTCATAATATTGGTTGGAAATGTACCCAAGTATTGGTCAAAGCACTATATCAGTCATAAACATTATATCATTTATTAAAATATTTATCTTTAGACGTGACATTTCCAGCCAACCCATGAACTCAGATACTGGCGAATGGTCTCCCCCAGCATCAATGACAGACTTATTCATTCCAATGTTCTCCTAAATTAAGAAAGTCGTCATAGATTGAACATAAGTTTTTTGTACGTCTGTATGAGGAGAAACTTCGATTATTTCAGTGTTTGTCTGCAATGTTACCTGGATGGTCTCTGCATGAGATCTTGAGGCTGTTGTCAATCGCTGTGTCCCGTTTTTTCTTTTCACCAACAGAAATAACAAATAACACTGTACTGATATTATATTTAGCGTTGTGAACCTATTTACCATCAATCAATGAGCACAAAACTACTTTAATAGTGGATAACATTCTCTCATCTCTGCTAGACACATTTTATTTTTAATATAAGAACATAAATACCTGTATTTTAAGGAAAATCGTATGCTAATATGTTATGTTTAATTTATCTTTGTTACTCCAGTGAACATTACTAAATTTTCATAAATCTTATAACTTTGTTGACATTTAATATGTAAAAACTAAAACTCTGTTATATTGTTACGACAGCGGAAGTCACGTGACTCTAGTAACACGACACGATATTCTAGAAGGATCATATCTGTTCATGGCAACTCTAGTCTTTTCTACGTGCCCTCTACGTGCCAGATAAAGAAAAATTAATTTATCGGAATAGAATTGCAGACAGACAGAGATGGACAATTGAGTCAAGCGCGGTAGTGGTCGTAACTTAAGTGCGTGAATCATTGTGAATTCTAGCGAGTGTTTAAGTTAAAGTGACAGTGGAAGTTAAGTGCATTGCAAAGTTGAATTGACAAAGAAAGGACTTGTATCACTGAAGTTTCTCGGAAAGAATTTCTACAGAAAATTAACAAACGAACACAGAGACGTAACAATATCTAAATAATTACACTTTGAAGAAGCTAGACTATGTATAGATCTTGATGAGTAATATTTGTAAACAGTGATTGTTTTAAATGACAAATATGTGAGTTTTAGATCGAAAACAGAAAGTAGCAACTTGTAAACAGAAAATAATTTCCTAGTGTATCATCAAATATTGATAATTTCATAAATGCACACTTAACTTTTCATATAGTTATGTAAAGTGTAAAACTTTAGAGATGAATCTAATTACGTTGATGAATGGTTTTATCTGAATTTATAAACTGATTTCATGTAAAGGATAAATATGTCTTTTCTTGAAGACCATACCCTTTATCACGAGACCAAAAAACTTAGAAGTATATCACAATATTGAAAAATATCTACTTTAATATTCATGGTACTTGCTTTTCCAATATAGAATGATGTAACAAAGTATTTGATTGATTATCTATCCTTTATAGTACTAGAGCCACAAATAGTGTTTTGTGTTGTTGTACATCAGATACAACATATTAACTTTTGTTTTCATTACATTATATAGAATGAATTGTTTCTCAAGTAGTGGTCATGTGACTAATGAATAAAAGTCTGTAAGAGAGTCTAACTGAGTAGAAAAAAATTGTAAACTTACTGTAATGTACCAGACTTGTATCAAAGTTAATTTAATCTTGATAATCCAGTATTTATGATTCAGGCATGTTTCAGTTTGTGTTATTTGTAACTATCAAATGTTATCGTGTTTTCAACTTGTGAGAGGAAATTATCCCTTGGATAAATTTGAAGAAGGTAGCCCAAATTGTGAGATGATGGACAATACTGTTATATCTTTACGTCTTTAAACAATTACATCTTCAAGAAGTTAGATTATGTATAGATCTTGGTAAATATTTGTAAGGTTATATTTAAATCACAAATATATGAGTTCTAGATCAAAAACAGAAAGTAGTAACGTAGAAGCAGAAAGTAATTTAAATAAAATATTGATAATTTCATGAATGTACATTTAACTTTCTGTATTGTTATGTAAAATGCATGAACAGATAATTTTGCTTTACTGAATATTAAGTTCAGTGCCATACAAAATCCGATCTTCATTTTCAGAGATAAAGTATAGTGAATATAACAGCTTATTTTTATTCTAAAATATATTCTGTAATGATAGACAGTAAACATGTTGAATTTATAAAATGTATGTATTTTCTTGTCTTTTATCGTAAGAAACTTGAAAGATACGGAAATATAATTTCTGGTTTGTCTGTCAGTTTTGTAGAAACGAATGCATTACTTGTTTTTCTCAAGTAGCAGTCATGTGACTAATGAACAAAGGTGAAAGCATTGGTCACAGTGTTTTACCCTTTGGTAACACTTCTTAGAGAGCTCCTTTGATTTGTATTGTTACGACAACGCAGGTCACGTGACGTTTGTATCACGCCACTTCCTTCTCGAACCTTCATGAAATATCGGGAGTTTACTAGATCTCGGTATTCTTTTATATATAAGACGGTCACAACGTGACGGAGGCAATGTAATGAGTAATTGAATGTATGCGGACAGAATATTGTTGAGCACGTGAGGCGTTTGTTGTGAATTGTAGCGTTTGT